TTCGTCCAGTTAAAAACTCTGATTTAGTTAGTACTGATTTTTTTGTACCGCATTGACACTTATTCCATTCTCAGGTAGAATGTCCAAAGATGTTCATTGTAGAAGATTTATACAATTTATGGTTGCATTACAAAAATACACTATTAAACAGAATATTTTAAAAATGATGAGAGAAGAAAAGGAAAACTAATTAAAAATTAAATTTCTTAATTAAAATTTTTCCGTATAACAACGCATATTTTATAAATAGGGGAAAGAGAATATTAATAAATCATTTTTAATATTTCAAATAAAATTTAAATTATTGTTACTTATTTATTATACCAATTCTATTTATTATTATTATACCAATTCAGTTCCCGCCGCGTTGAGTAACGAGTAATCTGGGGTGAGTGTGTACGTCTGGAGAGTAAAAGTAAATTATTAGCGAGAATGGATTGAGTTCAAACCCGCCCCGAGTAAAATCTAGTACTCTGGGGGAGTGAATGTGACCATCATACGTTTTCGTTCGCATAGAATAGTGATGTTGTGCGTGCGTGCGTGTTGTGTGTGTGCGTATGTGCGTGCGTGCGTGTGGTGTGTGTGCGTATGTGCGTGTGTGTGCACTGCGAGTCGGTAACAGATCGAGACGCTCAAATGACTGCAGGTTAAAAAATACGCATGAAAGACCAGGAAAAGATAAACAAACTCGCAGATGATCCGCGATGACCTTTTGTCGCCTCTATACTGGGTTCAAATAATGGGTCAAAAATTCAAAATCTTATAGGAAATTGACGCTGAGTAAGCCTGGGCCCGGGACGCCTTCAGTACAGAGCTAGGGTTAAAAAAATCAAGAAAAAACATGTTTTCTGACCTTGTTTGTGAATAGTAAGTAAACCTCTACTACTGCCATAAAACGTCTCGAAACAACAACATTCATAGTGCATTTACTTCAGGGTCGAATAAGACTAAAGCCAGCTTGATTGCTTAAGAATTAAAATTTTCCCGTATGCGATTTGGCACGCTCTCGAGGCTCAGCCTTCCTCGTATGTACCGACGCTCTGAGAGCTGTCTGGGCTATATGCGACAGGTTCTTTGTGGACCCTCTCGTCGTGCTCTTGTTAGAGAAATACTCGGAGCTGGAGCCTCTCGGAAAAACGGTGGTTGTTGTCTGGATTCCTGGTGACGTAGGCCTGGAGGGTAACGAACAATCGGACGAGGCGGCGAAAGCCGGTACCCTCCGGATCGGACCATCGCGATCAGGCCCCCTGACGCTAAACACGCAGTAAACAATATGATAAAAGAAAGATGGCAACGTCAGTGGGCGGGGTCGTCGGAGAGGCTCTTGCGAGTCAAGAGCACAACCGGTAGATGGTCCTCAGAGCATCTGAGCAAGAGACGAGGGATCGTCCTCACCCGACTGAGGATTGGCCATACGCGGTTGACACATGGGCACCTGCTTTTGTGCCAAAGACCGCGCATGTGCCCCTATGCAGAGAAAAGTTGCTCGATGTGTCCCACATACTGGAAACATGTCATGCCTTGGCTCCCTACAGGGCATCCAATCTGAAAATGGTACTCGAGCACGGCAGCGGGTTTCTGGGTCCCCTGTTCCCTTTTTAGGGGAATTTTTTTTTTTTATAGTATATAATATGTCTTATGTGTAGTGTGTCCGTATGTTTTGTCTGAGTGCATGTATATATTAGCGAGGAGTGAGGGTGAAATGTAACGTCATCGAGAACTTTGAGAGGGTAAGAGTGTGTGTTCGGGGTCGATGGCGGAATATTTATAAAATCTACTAATCTAGATTAGTTTGTATATAGGTCAAGTACTCCACCGACCAAACGGAATGAGTGTATTGTATGAATGTAGTGTTTGAAAGGGTATATAGAATATAGACTTAGTTGGGGGCGCTGAAATGACCTAGATGTCGGAAGCCCCAGCCAAAAAAAAAAAAAAATTAAAATTTTCGTGATTTTTCAAAGTTAGGATTGGGGTTGGTGTAATTTGACGGAAAATTCCATCACCGACAAGGTTTGTTTTTTAGTAGGGGGTGCATGTTTTGAATCTTTTCGATAAAAATAAAAAAGTCAGAAACGGTGAATTTTTTGTGCCCCTCCTCCTAATTTTGAAAAACCACGAAAATTATAATTCCCAGCCAATCAGGCTAGTTTTAGCCTTCATTCGATCCTGAAATAAATGCACTATGAATGTTGTATCGAGTTGTTTTATGGTAGTAGTAGCCGTGTACTTACTACTTCATAAATAAGGTCAGAAAACGTGTTTTTTTAAACCCTAGCTCTGTACTGAAGGATTTCCGGACCACGGTTTATAGGACCTTTTTTACCCAGTGTTCAATTTCCTATAAGATCTTGAATTTTTTACCCATGATTTGGGTTCCACCCAGTATGTACTATATATAATATAAATAATTGACCAAGTGGACATGAAGTGATAAAATAGTTGGAAAAAGCTTTCAAAATTTTCCAAATCGCACGAAGAACACGCATAACGAGCTTTTATCATTACTTGTCCCCTTAAAGAGAACCCTTAAAGTAAGACGAAAAATTAATTAAAACTTCAAATTTTATAAGTTTTCCAACTTTTTATATTTATTTAACTACATGCAGGTTTTGGTCTTCTGTGCCAACTATAGTTTAGTATTCGAAATAGATAATTAATCAATAATAAATAACCAATGAAGCGAACAACCCCTCAACCTTGTGACATGATTAAAAAACATCAATCGTCCTTTATAACTGATTTAAACACATGTTAAAATAAAAGAAACTATTTTAAACTTTACTAAAAATAATTAATTAAATTAGTTTTCAGTACAACAAAATTTATGTCAATACATACCGTCTGTCACATCCAATGTATCTAGACAACCCGAAAGTTAATAACTCTTTATTATTGCATAACACAAATATAATTACTTATTACAAATGATAACATTTTTTGAAAAAATGGAAGAATTAACAGTAAGCTAATTAAAAGTTAAATATTTCAATTAGCATATTTCTGTACAGTAACGCAAAGGACAGGATTAAACAAAATAATCCATTAATTAGAACAAAAAATCTTTACTACAAGAGACTTAAAAAATATTATTATACTTATTATTTATCTACCATTTACTTACTCTATTAACGATTGGGTATTAAGCCACGAAATGGATGGAGACAGCTTTTTAACATCAACGGACACGTTTAGTTTTGCCCGATAAGCCAAGTTTATTCATTTCTACTTTACACTCTGTTACAGTTTACATGTTCATTTAGTCACATGCAGCTATTAGTTATTCTTATCATCTTTTGTTTTAGGATTCATTCTCGATAATAAATTTATGACGGAAACAGCTTTCAAACTTGTCCAAATTGCATAAAGAACACTTGTAATTTACTCCGATAAGCCATGTGTATTTGTTTCTACTTTACATTCTGCTACGGTATACATTTTCAGCCATATGCAATTTTTTAGTCACTCTTATCATCTTTTGTTTTAACTTTTCATGTTTGATTCATACTCGATAATACCAACATGACGAAACCAGATTTCAAACTTGCCCAAAATGTATAAAGTACGAGTCTTTCGTTATGTCATGTTTGTTATTCAAGGTTTAAAAATAAATTACAATTAATTAAGGCTTTAGTTGAGATAAAAAAGTCAATGGCACGAGCGGGATTCGAACCCACGATCTTCGGCTAGACACGCCGCTGCTCTACCACTTGAACTATTGTGACCTCGATCCACTCGGACACTAATTTCTCATCTCAACCCCACCTTTTGAATTTTCCCTCCTTTTTCCCATTTTTCAAGGACAACATATCGCTCATCGGTTAAGCTAGTCAAAAAAGTAAAAATAAATTGCCATAACCAAATAAATGACAACCAAATCTGAAATTAAAGGTTAATTATAATATTTGATTAATATTAATATTAGTATTTTAGTTGATACAATTAAAGTTTAAAAAAATATCTGCAAATGATTGTCTATGGATTTTTTATTGTATTACAAGTGATACATATTAGAATATTTTAAAAAAAGCAGTAAAAGTGAACGTATTAAATTTCTCAATTAATATTTTTGCACTGTAGAGCGTATTTTATAAATAGGGCAAGTTTAACCAAAAAAATTCTGTTAATTATGTAAAAAATCCTCTTTCTGTGAAAGACTTCTAACTAAAATTACACAGCTTACAAAATGTATGTAAACCGCTTTTAAATTTGTACAAATTGCATATAAAACACGTATGATATACAACGCTAAGCCGCGGCCTGTCAGTTTTACGCCAACTCAAAGAGAAACACAAATTGAAAACATAAATAAAGCCCTAAAACCTTCTGTTTCACCAATAAGTTTTTATTGTAAAACCAATAAAAATTATGAAGTATGATAAAAATAAGACTAATTAAATTTTTTAAAAATAATCAAAAGAAAATAATACAATCATTTACATTAAGTATCAAAATATTCTTGTACTGTGAGAGGCTTTTGGCTAAAATATTGCACATTATATTAATTAAGTATATGGCAGACCGTAACAACATGAATGGAAGCTGCGTTAAATCTCATCCAGTTTTCATAAAGTGCGTGCATAAATTTACTTCGTCTTACTAAGTTGTGGCTTGAATTTTCTATATCCGCTTTATGCCCAGGTTTTCGTTTCCTCAAAGATAAACCCAAATCGATTTCTCTAACACTTTTTGCATTTAGCCATCTGTTAATTTGTCTCCCTTACCATCTTTTATTTTAAGAGTCGGACACTGGATAATAGGATTTATTAAAAGAATAAATTAAGCGAAAATCCGTTAACATTTTACTTTTGTTTAACGTATAAACTGCTTATTCAATGCCTGGAGAGAAAGAAAAAGTATTTTAAAAAAGTAAATATAAAATCGTCCTTTATAAATGATAGGAAAAGCGGGGGGGATGACATTTCATTTGGCGATTCTAGTAGGGGGATGTGTCGGAGGGTGGTGGGAGAGCCAGCAAGGGTATAAAAGGCTCGCTAACTCACCCGCGGCCACCACTTCATCCAGTTTGATCTGAAGGTAGTCAGCAAGTCGACATAACCAAAATGATCAGCAACCTAGCAGTACTTGCGGTGGCAGTAGTCGCAGTAACGGCTCTACCCAGGGTAAGTGGAAAGGTGTAACGGCTTAACTCATACCGAAAATACTCCAGATTTTTAGTTTCTTAAGTTTGTTTTCTGTCTGTCGCCATGTATTTTCGATCAACGAAGCCTTAATTGGTCAATAAATTTAAATAGCAAACGTAATATCGTTTCGAAGTAATATCTTTAGTTGAAAAGCACAGTCAAAATCTTCAGAATTTTGTCGTAATTATCTTTCGTTATTTTGATGCTATACATAACGAAATTCCTTCACGTGACAGACACGCTAACGATATTTCACGCATGTCTGTTTATAATTAAAATTTCAAACTCTTATTGCCCAAAAACGTATTTGCCGAGTTTCTAAGAAGAAATTGTTTTGAGAAACGTTCCATATTTTGCAGTTTTAATTGTATATCGAAAGAATATCACCCTGAACAGGCCTCTGAAACGGATAAACGAGGAAGTAAAATCATTAGATAAATTTCTTCAATATGGTGGCTTAATTTAAAATTTAGTTCTGTACCATCACGGAATAATTCATTTTCAGTTTTACTAGCATAAAGAAAAGAAAATTCTTATCGGTTTTGTGTGATAGGGATAAATTTATTTAGATGTTTGTAGGCGAAAAGAAATCTGTGGCATAAGTATTTCCTTATGTTGTCCGTTTTGGACTCGTGGCCCATCAGCGGCGTAGTGGGTCAGTCCTCAATCCGAGTGTCAGTATAAAGGACGGTTTGACACGCACTACAACTAAAAAACCGTGGAACATACAAAAATATTAAATAAATTACCAAAAATTAAATTTACTGCTACACCAACGCGCATCGAACTACATTAAAACCCCTGAACATTCTTCCCTATCGAAGCTCTTAACTGCCTTAAAATAAATTTATAACTAACAAAAGATTTGCCCTATATTTGTGTTCAATAAATTAAATGAAACGACTAAAAGAATTCTATGAAGATTTACTTTTAATATTTGTGGAACCGGCACTTGGTCCGTCCACACTCGGGAGTGTTTAATGTTAAGAGAACCGCGTTCCGAAATTGCGCCATCACCAGTGAGGAAATCTGAAATCGCAGAACACCCACCATCAATTAATTACATGTCCAAAAAACCAAATCAATTTTATAATTGGTTACTTTTCATATTTTGGAAGTTTACTAACACCACGAAAAAAGCCTGCTAAGCTTTTTATTATACAAATACGTTTATGTACAAAAAGCCAAATTGTATTAAATATTTTATTCTATATTACCTACTTCATACCTTCTACATTAACGTCCTGAATTCCAATAATAACAAAGGATTTGCAGTGTATGAAGTTTGGTTCGATCACTATCAACGCTCTAAATGGCGTTAAAGCCCCTGAACGAATATTGCACGATTATTATGAACTTTTCTTGCTTTTAACTTCCTTTAAACTATTAGAATAATTGCAGACCAACCCAGCGAAAAGGCAGGCCAAAATGATTGGTAACGACCAATTTCATGTCGACATCCTCTCGACGGGAAGAACTCACAAAAGGTATAACACAAAATTAGTTCAACCTAAATTAACCAAAGGGATTTTATGTTCAGCTCTCTGAACTGCCTTTAATTAGGAACGAATTAATGATAATTAGCTAAAAATTACTCCACTACAGACATAAATTGGTTTAACAAACCAAATCATCTTTTATGTTATTATTATACCTCAGAATAATAATAGAACGAATCAGTTAATGACAGAAGATTATCCACATCATAATTTTAGATTTAGCAAACCAAATTAATTTGTTTCATGTGCATCATATTGAGTTCTGCTATATCAAAGATCATTATGACTCTATATTCTTAAATTTTTTAAATTACATCGATCGATATTGCATAATTTTTGAAGAAAAAACCATCAAATTGTCTTCTGATATTGGTCGCAATCTCTGTGATCTTCGTTGTTCTGCCTTACAAAAAGTTCAATTTGGAGATAGACGTCACTAAGTATTTCTTATTTACCTAAGATTAACTTATTTTCCTTCTTCTCTTGACTTGCAATACCATTTTCTTATTTTCCAGTCTCGAACAAGAACTTTTTTTCAGCTTGACCACGTGAAAAATACAAATTTTAAAGTGGACTCGACATAAAAATGTAAAACATTTATGCACCCTGTTTATGCTTTGAAATAACTCTAGGTTTGCAAAAAAAGTATTGAAACAGATTTGTAGGGATTTGGAGGAAAAATGGGTTAATTTTTATTCTATTCAATTTTATGCCCCTTCTCCTCTGGAGGAAAACTCCCTGCAAATAACCGTCGTATTTTAAGAGAAAACAACGAATCTTATCCAAACGAAAGGAATTAATTGGTTTCTGAATAATACTAATCTTACTAATGTTTTCTTTTAATTATAACTTATGTTAGCGATTTCTATTAAAATTGAAACAGTGAACCGTCCGATTAGCACTTTTAAAAATTGAAATCACGTAAATTGAGTTAAATGGATGAAGATTTAAAAAAAATAAGAAGCGGTATAACTATAAAATTGTAGCAAATATCGCAAGTAGTCAACTTAGCAAAAAACCCTAGAATAAACTAATTTCTGCACGTTTGTGAACACAAAATTATTCTTTCTCCCTCTGAGAACACGTAAAAAAGAACCGTATGTATTATGCTTTTTCAAAAACAAAAACCTAATAAAATTGGACAACAATAATATACATTTGTGGACTTGGCATTGCTATTTTATTTATTTAGTTTGATTAGGATTAACTTATTTTTCTTCTTCTCTTGCCTTGCAATAACATTTTCTCGTACTTTCCAGTCTCGAACAAGAACTTTTTTTCAGCTTGACCACGTGAAAAATACAAATTTTAAAATGGACTTGACATAAAAATGTAAAACATTTATGCACCCTGCTTGGCGGAAAAGAACTAGAGAAACATTCTAAAAAAATCCCCTCCTGCTTTAATGTACATGGAAACTCTCGAGTATTTATTTTAAATGAACAGAATATCAACTTGGTCTTTACATCATTTAATTTTTTATTTTGCCCTTTTTTTGAATCCCGTGTTGGTGTAGAAATCACGTTAAAAGGACAGTTTAATTTATATTTATAAGTCACCAAGAAATGGGAAATTTCGAATTGGTAATAATACGATGCTACAATAATTGTATTAATGTAACATTATAACTTTATTTTATGAAACATTTCACAATGGTAAATGTGTATACCGTATATGCATTTATACTTAAGTTTGGAATTACATTTTTTAAATTATTTATTAAGTCTATCTCAGCTGACATTGGCTGTGTAGGTTTGCTTAGGGCGTGGCACAGCTCCAGAGAAAGCCCTGATTACTTTAAAAAAATTTATTTCTGTTTTACAGAAAACCAACCCTATTCTCATAGTACATATATATTTTTCATATGATAGTTTTTCAAATATTATGGAATTGCTTTGTTTCTCGAGGAAAGAAGCTTGAAACGTATCTTTCGCTTTTCAAGATCAATAAATTTCAATAGAATACTAATTTTCAGTAATACAATATTGGCGATTTTAAAACATAAAAGTAATCCCTTTGATTCGTGCCGGTAAAATAAGGCATTTTAAACAATTAATTTGTATTATAGAGCGATAATACCAGTTTAGAAGACGGCTCTAACAATGCTTCGCGATAACAAGCTACCGATATTGATACGTCCAATTTATCCAATAATGGTAACAAGTAAAGGCGTTTCGTCCTTGCGTCCGCAATATCATCTAGTTTTCCCTTCGGTCAAGAGGGTCTAGCGATTGATTGTTGATTGAATTTTAGCATTAACCAATGCGATTCGTCAAAATGAACTAGTGGTTATTATTTCACATAACTCAATTAGGGATAGAAGAAACCGCAGCTAAAAAACGCGCGCGGGCTTAAACTTTAAAACTTTTTAAATAATTTTATCAAATCGTTATCAATACTAAACTCTCACAAGGCGCAAGATATTTCATTAATAATGCTATCTGACTATGTAAAATACGAAATATAGAGCACTTGTTTAACCTCACATTTAATTGACGGTTAGATTGACTTTATTAATGGTTTTGGAAAACTGTATGTGTATGGATATGCACAATATGCAATTTTTATGAACAAGAGAATATAGGTCATACATTTTTTAAGCAGTTTTTTAATCTTTATTAGTCTACGAGGTAAATTTATTTTAGCAAGACATGATGAAATGAATAAGCAAATACTATCAAGAAGGCCTAATATGTTCATTATTTTATTATGTTATTTTATTACATTTATTTGTTACTTACATCTACAAATATTACGCATACGTGGCGCATTTCTATTTTCAATGTCCCCTGCATTCCTACACATGTTAACCTTTCAACATAGACATTAGCTGACGATAAGGGATTCTTACATGGAATTCTGTCTCCTTCATTCCATATAGACTCAACCCTTACAACACCTGAATGAATGAACAGTAATTTTGTACATTATTCATACAGTAATCATATACACTACTATGGTAACAGTATATTCTGGGCACCTGCTTTTGGGCCAAAGCCCGCGCAGGTGCCCCGTATGCAGAGAACGGTTGCTCGATGTGTCCCACATAATAGAGGCGTGTCATGCCTTTGCGCCATACAGAGAGCGTGTAGGCATGCCGCCGGACTTAAGAAAAGTTCTCGAGCACTGCAGCGAGTTTCAGGGTCCCCAGTTCCGCTTTTTAGGGGAAATTGTTTTTTTTATTGTATATAGTATGTCTTATGTGTTGTGTGTCTATATGTTTTGTCTGAGTGCATGTATTTATTAGCGTGAATGGCGAGGGGTGAGGGTGAATATAACGTCATCATCGCCCCTCGAACGATGAAAGCGGGTGAGTGTGTGTTCGGGGTCGATGGCGGAATATTTATAAAAGTACCCCATCGACCCCAATCTAGTTTAGTTTAAGTGTAGGTCGGTGGAGGAATATCAAGTACTCCACCGACCAAACGGAATGAGTGTACTGTATGGATGTATTTATGTGTATGAATGTATTTATTTGTA